TATACACTTACAATTTCGGTCTACGCCTATGGACCTTAAATATACTGATATAAACCGCGAACAGAAATTAATTTCTGAGGAGATTAAAAAGCTGAACTATTAAAAAGGTCAACTAGTAAATCGATTTCATTTTCTGCCCCTACGGCTGGCGCAATCAACACAGTCTTCTGTAACTGACACAAAGTCGAACCGACTGAGTAGTTTATGGTTGAGGTGGTCCGAAGACTTGGGCGAATAAATTGTTGTTTCAGACATATTAGACTCTCACGTCTTAACTTTAGTACTTGGCATTCTTTAGTTGCATATTTTCTCAAGGATTCGCATAAAATAGCACCTGCCCGAGAAAACGGATGCAGTAGTAGCAGTCTGAGACCATTCGGGAGTTTTCTGTGATGGGTTATCCCTACGTGACATTATCTCGGTTCATAAATTGCGAAGAAAAATAAATTCAAAATTTATGTAGAGCTTATCGAGACTCTCTTTTGCAGTACCCCACAAAACAATGCTTATGCAAGTTAAGCATACATCTGAATATGGCACAACGGCCAAAGAGTCACCGGGATAAATAGTAGGAGTCAAAAAACGTTATGCCAAAAATTGAGCCCAATTGGTAAGCGAACCATGATATTACACATTGCAAGGGAACGCCTTAAACCAAAGCACAATTGTTTGCTTTAGATAGAAAAAAACACTCAAGGGAGGTTGAAGTGCCGATAACCACGGTACATGTTCCAAAATAAATCCCAGCATCACGATACGCCCTTCCCAGCAAACCATGACGACTCCACTTGGAAAAAGCATCATTTTCTTTACGGTGTTTACAGGCGGTTAGTGTCACATGAAAAAAGAAAACTCGCAGAGTAATTTGTTTTTGCCGCCCTGTTGCCGGCAAAGAGCACTTTTGACCTCATTGTGATCAGTAAAAACTAGAAGCCGCTAGTGTAGAATAGAAACCGGACAGTTTCATTTGTAGCAGCTCTAGAACAAGGCCCCCTTAGATTCCTGGACGAATAACCTATAAGTTCGTTCGTTCGCTTACTTGACACGTTTGTGATGGGAGAAAACAATAAATCTGTCTACCGAATCGTAACATCATCATAAAAACCAGTTGTGAAATTTTTAATGAGCTGGTCTGTCTCCAGCCTCACAGCAGTTTGCTATAAGCGAACGACCACCGTACAACCAAGAAAAACAAACATTGGGTGTATTTATGAATAAAAAAACTGGCGATATTTTTAGGTGACAACGGCGAGTGTGAAACCACGCTGTAAGCCAGTACATTAGTATGGTCACGTCCGCACATTCTTAAAGGTTTTTTTGCTTGCGGAAAAGAATTCACTTGTGATAAAAAAAAGGGCTGGTTTACACGGGCGTGTACCTTAACACCGGCTGTTTTCAGCCGGACGTTCGGCAGAAATGGAAAAAGTTAGCAACACAGTATACGGTAACAAGCCGGACTTGATTTCGATTTTATATGGAGGTAGGTTTGCGCTAGCCCAGAAGAACTCTCCAGGCACTGATTCAGCAGAAAATATTTTGGCCGTATCGAAGGGGAAGAGAACCAACAGCAAAGAAAAAAACTGGACTATAAATTACAAGCTCTGCGGAAATATAGCTCCACACAGCTTCCTCAAAAGCTATTTTTTGACGATAAGGAAGAACTTTGCGAACAGACGTTTGTTTTCGATTAATTCTCGTCAGGCCTGTACATTTCTATCATAATTAACTAATTAAAGTAGGCAGGATGGTAAAAAAAATGGTGTGGTTGTCAGGGTAGGTGGAAGGAGGGCGGGGAGGTAATCGGGGACGGACCAAGCGAACTTCTAAGAAGGCCTTAGCAACCACCTTTCCAGCAGCCTGACGATAATTTATTTAAAACAAACGTATGCTCGCCAATTTGTCTTCTGTGATAAAGGAGAAAGTAAGGATATGGAAGAAATCAGTTTGCAACCTCTCGACATAAAGTGCAGAAGCTACAAAATGTAACAAAGTGCACACAAAAATGAGCATTTACGCACATTCGGGCAACATTAGAGAATATCTCCAGGGAGTCCTGGTCCTCTGGTAGGCGTTTTATGATTTGGTCGAAACGCGAACCGTACAGCCTGTTTATCTCATCGCCGATTCGGGCCAGGTGACAGGCCACACGCTCCTCCAATCTAGGTAGGAGAGAGAGAAAGAGGAAGTTGTTGAGCAACGGAAGTACTAATGGATTGTTTTTGAAAATGCAGGAGAGGCATGGCCGCATAAACATGTCTAGAAAACAACCGTCAAGGTACCTATCAAAGCATTGCACTGGACAACAAGCCTAAAAATAACTCTGAATGAAAAAAGAAGACTGGGGTGGCCACTCCCGGTCGTTGGCGTCGTCCTACGCCAGTCAAATAAACGCAAAAACTTCAGCTTAAATAGTCCGCAGATCGAACCCAGTCATTGGGTGGCAGGCCTGGTGTTCTACCATTAAGCCACGGATTGGCTGCCCTGTTGGTTACGATCGGTGGACGACACAAGAAACTAGAATTCGGTTAATTTCCGAAGAAAGAAATGCGCGAAATTGAAGCAAAATCCTTCGTAAGAAACTTTTTTCCAAGCTGAGTGCGAAAGATTATATGAAACGGGAAAAGTGGAGTTCATATACCAGAAGACGCACAGGGAACGCAGAGGGACCCACTGAGGAACTAGACCCTTCACAACTGCGTTTCGTAGTTGCAGAAAATCGGCGAAGCACGCGTGTCTGGGCTTTTAGCTAGCACCTGAACTGACAGTATGGTACATAAGTAAGCATAGCCATCTCTGACACATACGCATCAA